ACCTGATACAAATTGTATAAAATTTGATAGTAGGGTGAGAAGATTTACTTTTTAATTTTTTAATTTTTTTTTAATTTAATTTTTTAATGTTAAGGTGTCAGAACCTAAAATGAAAGGCTGACGTCTGATCATTTTTAATAATGTAAAAATTTACCTATTGTTGTTTGTTTTTATGAAGTGATTTCTTCAAACCAATGTAAAAGGTGTACTTCTATGGTGCATGAAAAGGATTAATTGATAGACTCAAAAATTAAATATTTTTTGTAAATAGTCTGAACTTCTAATTTATAATTGGAAGAAAATATCTTGAGTTCATCATGAAAAAAAAAAAAACGTATTTTTTAATTAAAGAACTATTCAAAAGATGGATAAATTTTTGATATTTTATCAGTAATTAACGAAATTTAAATAAAATATGACTTTCAGAAAAAACAATGTTAAATATAAATCTTATAACGTTTGGATCATATTACTTGAAACATCTAGCTTAAAAATGCAGAATAAATAATACCACAGCAAGTCCTTGTTTAATGTTTTATAACATCTTTATGGAAAGATACAAGTACATTTGTAATCATTTACACATGTTATGATTATTATTGTTGAATTTTCTTTATAAACAATAAAATTGATTTTATGAGGTAAAAAATAGATACTGGAGGTTACAAACATAATTAAATGAGATTAATATCCAAATTATAACAAAATCAATTTTAACCTTAAACTGCATGATATGTCATTTCACCTAACATTGTCAATATGTTCTTGGAAACTATGACATTAAGTGAGGACTTGCTGAATACTAGAAATATTTGTACTTTATACAACAAAAGTATATTTACCAAGTTGTCTAACATCTCGAATATTACGTTCTTCATCATCAAAAAATAACATATGCTGATATTTATAATTTGTTTTTTCTTGAAATCTGAAATAAAATGATGAGAAAAAAAATATACCCCTGTATAATTTTAATGATATTTATATTTGGCAGATATTACAAAAATTATAGCTACAATCCAATCTAAATGATATATTTGTAACAATAACATAAAGTTATAACTTTCATATTTCATAAACATTGTTGTTTAATAGTTTTTTAAAAATTTATTTTATATGAAATATGAATTTACACAAGACTAATAAGGAAACAAATATTTGTATTTAAAAGGTCATTCCTGGAAAACTTGACAATTTTCCAAATTGAAGAATTTGTAAAATTGTCAAAATTTCAATTCCAAATCCTGGAAAATTGTTTTTCCTGGGATTCAAGATTTAAGCTTTAAGCATTTTACCAACTCATTTACAAACTAATAAAGTTAAGTAAATTCAAGTTAAATGCTTGAAATGATATAATGGCTGCAACTACTGATAGCAAAATCAGTAAACAGCAAAAATTAGACAATCAAAAGAGAATTTTGGTTGTCTAATTTTGTTTTTATATCAACAATAAACAATTGTAAAGCGAATTCCGTGATGATAAACTTTTTATGTGAAAATTAATTTCAAATTAACAGAAGAAAGTGGTTTCCAAGACAGCTTATCTGAAACAGTTCATACAGATTCAAATACAGTAGAGCGTCGATTATCCGAAATGTCGATTATCTGAAAGAATTCCAGTCGGCAAATTTAAATTTTCGCCAGTGCTGTAATGCTGCAATCTTTGGCTATGTCTTGGGCTACTCAAATATTTTACGTTTTTGATACTAAATTAACTTCTAAAGTATAATTTTTTATTGTTTTTATATTTTTCAATATATTTATTTTGTTTGTACAAAATAAAAAAATAAATTTTAATGATACAATAGTCTTCAATAGGCTTAACATCGACAAAACTTCAATGCAAAGCGACATGCAACGAAGAAAAATTTCAAAATGGGATAGGTTAATATATTTTTTTGTACATAATCAGTTATCCGAAATATTGATTTTCCAAACAACCCCAGTCCCCAATTGATTTGGATAATCAATGCTCTACTGTATTGATAATATTAAGACTCTGGTCTTTTCAACTCTGAAAAACAAATATAACGTTTCTCAAAAATACTGTATTCCAAAATTATTGATATATTAAAATTCAACACAATACAGAGCTACTTTGCTTTTGATTTGCAGAAGTAGATGGAATAACATTGTAGATTCCTTTACTTTTTAATAAATTTCTTGATATAAAACTAGGTGTAATGCATATGGTGTATAGTTGTGACATCATAAAAAATGGAAAATCTCATTTCTGTACACTTTAAAAAGTGATGTGACTGCAACATCACAATAGTTTAAGCCTAAACATTAATTTTATCAATAAAAAATATTTAATATTAAAATAAAATGCTGAAGAATATTTTACATATTGTGTTGAACAAACTCTGGCATCTAAAAAATTTTGTTGCATTTTCAAAATCTTACAATTCATTTTACGATTAGGTATATTGTTCTTATCATAAGTATTTAATGTTGTCTAAATTAATGACATGTTATAAATAATTGAAGTTCATCAAATGCAAAAGAGCAAAAAGTTTGTTAAGGAACATGCTAATAGTAAGATATTACCAAGTCATTTTTAAATAGGAAACTAAGCAAGCATCATAAACACATCAAGAACTGGTATATATAATCTAAAAAAACACCAGTACACCAAACCAGTTAAACAAACACCAAAAATATTTAATATAACAAACAGATTATAGATGAAAATGTATGTGATGAAACATGGATGAAAATGTTTGTTATATTAAATATTTTTGGTGTTTGTTTGACTGGTTTGTGTGGTGTGTTTTTAGATAAGCAAGCATCTTAAACATAGTAATTTATTCTGGCACTTGCTCTTTTCACCTTAAGGCCAATTCAAATTTCATGAGAATGGAAAAGAGAAGAGAATGTCTCTCTGCTCATATTTATACTGATGAATGAGAAACATGCATGTACTTTTGATACTTGCAGTTAGGTATGCTTTCAAGGCTTTGTTTTAATCATAAAATTCTTAATTAATCACATATAATCTCATTTTTAATTTGAGAAGAGAGAATGGAGAACATTATAAAAGAAATTAAGGAAGATAATCCCAAAGTGTATTTTTGATATTTCAGGTAACTTTTAAACATACTGTATATGTAAAGATAGCATCTATTCAGATTTAATTAACTTAAAATACTGTATATGAATGATAAAATACAATACTAATTCATCAAAGAAAATTCTGCTCTAGTTCTAATCATTTCAATTTTATCAGTCACACATTTACTGCGGAGATGCAAAGGGTTTAAGCTACCAACAGAGAAATGTAGGATTTCTGTTGACTGATCACTGACCAAAAGAGAACAAAAATGTGTCACTAGTAATGCACAAAGTGTTGCACACTAAACCTGTTTAGTGTCATCTCAAAGTAAGAACCAGACTTCATACATTGCAGATCTATCAACCATACAGCCTCAGAAGTTTGGATATACAGATAAATTAACTATAGTAACTTAGATTCATATCTTGGATTAAAATTAGACAAAAGACTAATCTTCAGGCTCTTACAGAAATTGTATATAATATCAAATAGAAGCGAATGAGTCTGTTGACATCTTTGCCTTTTGTGTCTTCCTGACACACAAACAAGACACTCAGTTACATGTTGTTATGTCAAAGAGATTTCTTAAAAGAAAATTAAAATGATTTTAGAGACATTTTTTGATGTGGAAAAATGCAGCAGTCCATAACCTGCATCATTAAAGTCTGAAGGTTTTTAACATATAAATCTGTAAATTATATGCAGGAAATTATGTATAAAATTTATAAATTATACCTTTTAAAATGAGTTGTTTTACGACCAGGATATATTTCAGGAAATTCAAAATACTTTTCCCAATCTAATAATTTTAATAGCTGTTTAGCACCTTCTGGCCATTCAGTCCTACAATATAAAAATTTCAGTTTTAATAAATTTAAAATATTAGAGATAATAACTGAAAAGTAAATGTTATCAATGTAGAAAAAATTTATCTGTATTTGTATAATTAAAAAATTGTGTGTAAATTTTATTGGGCTACAATTTGAAAAAATTGTAGACATAAATTCCCACTGTCGTCTAGCTATCTATCCATCTGTGCTTCCTTAATCTCAAGAACAGTGTTAGATAGATGAAAGATGAGACCAGATATGGAAACCTTAGTGGCAGAAGGCCCCAATTAACTATATAAGAACTTCTGATACAAACTGGAAGTCATGTTATTTCAATTCAAAAATTTTCTCCTGAAAGGTGTTAGATAGATGACCTCTATTGTTAAAGGAAAACTATGATGTACAGGGACAAGCCACTACTAATTTGAGGTGGAAAGCATGTATTTTAAATTAAATAAATTAAAAATATGATTAAAAATTGCAGCCCAGCATTGTGACAATGTCACAATAAATAATTGCTTGTTTATTTTAAAATGTTTCTGATATACAGGATGGACATAGTCTTTCCCATATTATAAAATTTTATTTTTAAAAATCTGCTAAAGCAGCAGTATTCAATTTGTGACAGTGTTGGCTAGTTTTGAAAAGATTGTGCTACAGTTATTAAAAGAAAAAATGGCTTCCATGTAGGAAAAAGCAGTGTGTCCATTAGTAATGCTAGATTGAATCAGCAATTATTGTTCAATGCAGTTTTAGAATAAAATGCAGATGATCATCCACTATTAAAGAGACTATTGATGCTGTACAGGTTGCATTCCTTCTAAATTCACACTTTGGGCATCTTGTGAACTTGAGTTTCTACATTGAGAAAAATTTTACACAAGAGATTTAACTTGTATGCATATAAAGTGCAGATTATCCAAGCATTGAAGCATTGAGTAATGACTGCTACTCCTTGTGACAGATTTTGCATTGCATAGATAATGACAATGATTATCTAAAGGGTGTGTACCTCTCAGCTGGAGTTACATTTATTTATTTATTATATATACAATAGATCTCCTCCCCACATCAACAAAAAAACCCTTAAGATATAATACAAAGCTGAAAAAAATACTAAAAACAAACAACAACAAATAAAATGTGGTTACAAAAAATTGTAAAGAATACATTTACGGTTTCTTTTGTATTGTGGGTATTCAATATGAAGCATGTATTTGATATTATTCATATTGACACCAATGCAATAAAAAAATGATCTACGAGAACTAGTTGAACAAAAAAAATGGAGTATAAATACAGGATAAATTCGAAATTTTTCTCAGGGTACTCTAATGGGAAGCCAATCAGACAAAATAAAATCATTAAAATATTTTTTTAAAAGTAAACAATTGAAATATTTGATTCTTTTACTGATTATAGGAAATCCTACTCTAATCCTAGCAGAATTTAGTGTACAAGTGAAAAGTAAATTATAAAATTTGTTTAGTGTAAAATAAATTTTATCTAGTTCTTTTGAAACTTTATCAAGAGAGGGTGTGACCATGGACCAGATGGATAATCAATGAGTGAATGAAATTAAGCAAAAAAAAAAAAAAAAAAATAGTTCAAAGAAATGCCATCAGATTCCATGACAGATTTCAAGCACTTTAACTAACTTATCGATATGGCCTTTAAATGGTAATTTGTTATTGAAAATGATACCAAGAGTCATTGTATGAATGAGCATATTGTAATGCATCATCATCATCATCATCAACAACAAAAGATGACAATACAGTTGGTATAGTCAAAAGGAAAAATTTATGAATATGGGGAGCAAAAAAATCTCCATTTCATCATTGAAAAGAAAAATAGCCGTAAATTGAATGTTTGGATGTTGGTGCTTACTAGATGGCAGAGTCATCATTCCTTTGCAGAATCAACATAAACAGCTAGCATGTATGTACTGTACTTGGACATGTTGGAGCTTTTTTTATAATACCTCACTAAACAAGTCAAATCCTCCACTGGTTTTCCAAAAAAACTGCACTATCAGATTGGATATTAAGTGTTTGAGATTTTCTCAATACCACACTTTCCAACAGATAGACTGGATATGATGATCCAATATCCTTGTCACCATGATCACTAGATTGAAATAACCTCTTTGGATTTTTCCTGTGAAGCTATGACAAGGATATAAGCTATTCAACATGTGTACCTGATGCTGAAACACTGAGAAGATGGATAACAAACTCTTGCTTCTGTCTCTGCAGAGATGTTGGAGAAAGCTTAATAAGAAATTGAACATTGGGTAAATGTACTCAGGATCATAAAGGATGCATATCAAAATTTATAAACATGTGTCAAAAAACTTTATAATGAACAGATTTTACCAGAATGTAAGACAGAATATATCTGTAATATAAATATACTTAATATTTATATGAAGTATTTTTATATATTTATATAGTCATATTTTGAGAGAGGTTGGACTTAATGAAGATGTTATTTGTTATTAGCATTTATAATTTTTTACAAAATTCATCACTACCCTCAAAATTAAACTTTTTGCCATTCAGTAATAATTGAAAATATAAAAAGTTATAAGTAAAAGTTTTTTCCTTCCAATAGTGAAACTAGTGATATTTATCACATCTTTCTTAATTATCCACAATTAACAGAGATCAAGATTAAAACAGTTTACTTTATTTCATCTATTTAACAGTGCATTTTGGATTGTAATTTTCCAATCCCTCTTCAGTCTTACGGCTTCAATGTCGAAGGTTGTTGTCTACAACATAACGAACAAAAGATTAATTCATGTTAATATACTTTTGTTATCCAGAATAATGCATATAGTGCACAATTTTTATGCATCCTAATGGTGCAATTTCTACACATCAATCTCATTCACTTACTGGCATGATTTCTTTGTCTATTTTTGATGGAAAAATGCAACACTTATTAGCTCCTTATTATCTCTTAGAAGAATTTTAACTTCAACAATGTGATTCATAACATGACAAAGGTCAAAATGTAGTTTTTCATTGTAAATATTTTCACAGTGGAAACCAAAATTTCCACAAACTATAACTATAATAAAAGACACAAGAACATTACTTATATTCTGCAAAAGAAAAAAACACCGTCTGAAAAATCAACGTACTGAGTATGGTATGGATCAGACTAACCTCAGTACACTATAAACAAACAATCAATGGCTGAGAGTAAAGCCCTTCAAGACCTGGCTCATACTTACATTATAAAAATATTGTTATACTGAGGGTTTAATGTCCTTGTAATATAGTTAATCAGGGCATCTAGTACTACACTTACCACTTTAAACTCTGATCTTATCTTCTTTATAATAATTAAATAAAATCTAAAAAATAGCTAACTTTGAGATGAAACAATCTAAAGTTATGTTGCTTATCTAATTGCCTAATTCTCAAATCTAGGGGCAAACAATCTAGATTTAGATGAGAAAAATAGATTCTAAAGTGAAAATTACTCAATATGTGGTATAGACTTCAATATTTTGACTTAAAGTAAAATGGTGGTTACTAGTACTGACCACCATTTTACTTTATTGCCACCAAGAGCACTGTAGCTAAGGTCATTGCCACCAAGAGAGCTGTATCTAAGGTCACAGCCACTCTATGTCGTAGATTCTAGCTTGCTTCTCTTGATTTTAGTAGTATCTTGCTTCTGTACTTCATATTTTTCCTGATAACAACAGGGTTATGCCAAGTCATCTATATAACTCTGTTCTGGAGAAAATTTTTGACTTCCAGTATAGATTGGAAGTTCATATATAGTTAATCAAGACCTCTGGTCCCCAAGCTTTCCATACCTGGCCTCATCTTTCATCTATCTAACTCCATTCTTGAGATTAAGGAAGGACAGACAAATAGATGCCAATGGAAATTTATAAACCTGCAATTTGAAAATTGAAGCCCAATAAATAAACATAAATAATAATAATAATGATAATAAAAAAAATAAGAAACAGATGTAAAAAAATAACAATAAGTAAAATAACAATGGTATCCCTACAGATATAATAAGAGTCCAACAGCATATGCTCTCTCTGATATCAACTCTTTCAATGTTAACTGGGACTAGACAAAAATTGTACAGGTCTGGAGCTAATACCAATTTTGATATGTGGAAGCATTACACATTTATAAATCAATTAGTTAGGGGCAAGCTATCAATTACAAGGACATTAATACCTTATCCATAGCAAGGAGAGCCTTTTTTTGAGATAAATTATATGTAACCTTCGACTTACTTTTATATCTGTAGGGATACTGTCCTTATTTTACTTCTTGTTATTTTTTTAACCTTTGTTTAACCTTTATATTATCATCANTTACAATTATTCAGCAAGATATTCTTTACATTGAGTTTTAATTATAATAAATGCTTTAAGGTTTATGTAACATTTTTAAGAGAGGTGTTTTATAAATATTAAGTACATAATTATATGTAATTTGAGAGCAATTATTGGAAACTGCCTGAATTACATTATATTATGTTTATATTCCAAAATAACATTTTCATATGCTAAAAATAATTTCTTAATGTCAATTAGTCAATGAAAATGAATATATTTATCAATATATTTGAATAAACTGTCAAGCACTAATTTTAATTATTTTTATTTTTTATTTGTAATTTAAATGATCTGGCTTCACTTATTTCAAATGTTTATTCTAGAACATTTTCAAATTACTGTTATGTTCAATATTAACTTACTTATGATTTGAGGAACATAAAATATGACACAGCAGTTAAATGCTGGTGTCAGTTTAATTACTATAATGTTTTTAGTTGTATTTAAGTTTTTCTACAATTTATGATTTCTAAGTGATTTGAATGAATGTATATAACTGCTGCTGTAACTAATCTAAGAAAATTCTTCAACATATATTATTATGTGACTTTTTTCTTTTTTTTCTCTTTTTTCTCATAATCTCAAATTTCTTGCAAAAATGTTGGAAATTCAAATACACCAATTTAAAC